GTACAGTCATATTGTGGGTGGCACACATACACTCAAATTAAACAGTAGTGAGGGGAAGAATAAAGTAACACCATGCCCAGCAGACAATATGGTGTCCACAAATATTCAGATGTGGCTCTAAGATAGATGAGAAAGTCAGTGGGTTTTGAGTGTGAATAGTACATCTCACTTTAGCATCCTTCCTTTCTCTTTCCAGTATCTGGAACCCTTAGCAAAAAAAGACTTGGAAGAGTATTCCAAGCACTGCACTACTCTTGAAAGCCTCCATAATGGCACAGTGGCTTGGCAAAGTGTGGCCAGCTACCTGTGTATCTCGGGAATGAAGCACAGTCCAAAGAGGCTCTTTAATGCTACTCAAGCTCTCCAAGAGTGTACTTAAACCACATCCAGTGATTTCACCTCAGCATGCCCACAGCAGGTCCTGATGCAAGTATCCCACAAGACAACCTGGGAGCATATACCGGTAACAATCTCCTTTCTCCTCGAAACAAAAAGCTTTGGAAGTTCTTAAAGGGTACTAATCTGCTCAAATATCAGAATAAATGTGGGACATAGGCATGAAAGACTGCAGTGTGTGTGTGTGTGTGATTTTCAGAATGAAGGGAAATGTGATCTTGAATCTTCCCACTCATTAGCTGCCAACAAAGCATACATGAGTTGTGGTTGGTAAATAAGGGACACCTGGCTTACCCTGGATAAATGGGATAGATGCTGCTTCTAGGGATGAACAAAAACTACAGAGAGAAATTTTAGTAACAGTCGTTCATTCTCTAGTTACAAAATAATTCCTTATGTGATCAGAGCATGAGCAATTTGAAGGTACGACTGTATGTAGTATAATGTCCAGTGCACATGGGCACTTCCAATCAGTGCCAAAAGGTTGGTAGCTCTTATATTATCAATAGACAGTACAATGTCTCTAAGCTTTCAAACTGCTAAAAGTAGGTATTCATATTGAGCTAGCAGAGCTCAAGAATTTGTAGTATAGATATGCAAAGTCTCAAAAACTTGTGCCTTCTGAGAGTGTCCTATTTATAGAACCCTTGTCAACAGGACAATGTAAAATATTCACCAGAGGACAAGCAAACAGCAGCCACAGAGAGCTGCCTTTAATAAAATCACAATGTATTAGTAATTTTTCTTTTGAGATCCAAAATCCTCCACTCTAAATCTTATCAATGACAGAACAGTTCCACTCTACAATATTTTTTAAGAAGTCTTTCAGATAACAACAGTTTAAGAGAGTAGAAATTAATTTGCTCTTGCTCTTTAAAGCATGATTAAGCAGTCTACAATACAAGAAATGCAACTGATAAAGCTACGGGCTGCTGCAGTGTTACTCCAGCCATATTCCAGTACCTGAACCTGGGGACAAGACTCTTGCTTTTTCAGAGATGGAGACACCAGTTTCTTTGAAGAACAACTAGTCAGGGAGTCATTCCAAAGGCATCTGATATCTTTGGTTCCACTGTTTAGTAACCAGGCTTCAAGTTAGAGTACAACAATCTGCATTTAAGAATAACATGAAAGAGGAAGAACCTCAGGGATTAGTTAGGATCTCAGAGAAGACTTCTCTTGGTGGAGAAAGTTGGAGACTTTTCTTACCTGTAAATCTATAGTAGTAACAACAGTAGACTGAAGCCTCCAACATTACAGCCTACTGGGAATACCAGTCTTCAAATCTGGCTCTCAGTAACAACCAGCAAGGCTAGGATTAGGAACGAAATTTCTGAAAGTACACCAAGACTACTTAAAGTCAAAAATCCAGGTCAGAAGAAGTTGCAAAACAATGGAAAGTCCAAGTCTGCAAATCAGAATTTCAGGAACAAACCAAAAAAGCTCACTGCTTCACAGGCATTTCTCAAGCTTCTGCTTTTTTTTTTTCCCCCCCATTCACCTACTCTGGCTCATCATAGCTACTGAAGCCAGGGTCAGAACTTCAAATACACAACAGAACTTTATTCAAATATCCCCAACCATCTTCCAAGGCCAGAAAATTTAATGGCACGATTATTCTGAGGTAAGATTGAATGAGAGAAACGAGAATGACAGAGATCATTCTTTTAAGAACAGTAGTCCACCCTGACATTGGTTAATAGATCTGTGGCCAGAAGGTCAACTTCTCTTTTCTCAAAGTAATTCAAGTTGTGTCAGAACTACTAGGGGGACTCTGGACCAAACTGATCTATTTGCTCATCAGGAACAGCTGGATATGTTCCCATTTCTCCTTTCAGGCCTTTGAACTAGAGTTCTGTAAAACACAACATTAACTCAGAAGGTGTACTTCATATAGGCATTACAAACATTTTCTATTTCTGCAAAATGGAAAAACATGCTCCATTCAATTCAAACACAGATTCATTGTTGCCTTCGTAAGGTTCAAGAACAAAGAAGGAAAATCCTTACACCTAAAAGGCAACAACACAAGGCAAGAAATAACAGAAAAAAAAAAAACAGTAGAAGTTTAAAGAAAAGAAGAAAAAAGAAAACTAAGGTCATTGCCCAAAAAGCTGTGAGGAAATCCTCTGATACAGTAGAAAGTTGAGAGAAAGTGACAGCATGAGACAGGCTCTAGCCAGCTGTACTAACTCTATGCCATATGTGGAGCACACACACATCTACCATTTTTCTTAAGGTTTTTGAATCTCAGGCCTTTCTCTCCATTCATTCCTGAGAATTTTTACACGTTCCTAAATTGAAGATTTTAGGTACCAATATGTGAGATAGCTGAAAGGTGGAAACCCTTACTTGCCATGCCAAATCAGACTGACTTTGGCTAGTTTTATTTAGTAAAGCACAAAGCTCAAGTTAAGCTTTGCAAATAGGCCAGTGGTACTGTATTTTTTCCGGCTGAGATGCAGTTAATTTTCCCCATAGCAGCCTCAGAGTGCGGTGCTGTGTATCAGTAGCTAGAAAGGTGCTGATCACACACCAGTGTTTTGGCTACTGCTGAGCAGGGCTCGAACAGCATCAGGGCCATCTCTCCAACATTACCCCCTCACCAGTAGGCTGGGGGCAGTCAAGGTCTTGGGAGGGGACACAGCTGCGACAGCTGACCCAAACTGACCAAAGGGATATCCCATACCATATGACATCTGCTCATCAATAAAAGCTAAGAGAAACGCAAGGCGGGGCATTCAGTATTATGACATTTGTCTTCCAGAGCAACCGCTATGCATACTGAAGATCTGCTTCCTGGAAGTGGCTGGACATTGCCTGCTGATGGGAGGTAGGGAATAAATCTTTCTTTTTCCTTTGCTTCCAGGCATAGCCTTTGCTTTTGCTTTTATTAAACTGCCTTTACCTTGACCCATGAGTTTTTTCCGTCTTATTTTCTCCCTCCACCCCATCCTGCTGAGGAGGGGAGTGATGGAGCAGCTTGGTGGGCACCTGGCATGCAGCCAAGGTCAACGCACCAGAGGTACCACAAGTTTAGATTAGTTTAGAGCATGGGAAGAACAAGTTTGTGTTGCTTAGAATATATCGTGAAGACATACCCTTCAGTCTACTCAGGCACTCATTATTACTTATTTGATTGTCATTTAATAGCTCATACTGAATGTTGTTAGCCACTAAAATATAACAGAATATAAACAAAACAGCTGAAGCGTTTTCTAAATAGACTACAAACTGTTTAGATTAAATTAGTCTAATTCAAAAAAAAAGTCTTAATATACAGCTATAGAAGTCATAAAAGCAAGAAATATGATAGCTCATAATACTAGTTTCCATAAAACAAGCTTACTGGATCAACTTGCCTCTCCGGTTTTTTGGCATTTTACTACAGAACTACATTAACTGATTGATATCAGAACAAAAACAACTTTTGATGTATCATTTTATTATGTTCATAATGTGAACTAGGTTAACTGCTACTCAGGTACTACTAAAACCATAATTTGATAAATTACATTGTAAGGATGATCAGATTTCATAAGAGACCTAATACAGGTGGTGTGATGAGCAGGTACACATCCCACCACTAAGCAGCAGGTTGTTTGGCAGACATTCCTCAGCTGAAACAACTGCAATAATCTCTACTCTGAAGTGAGTGTGTTTCGGAGGAGAAGTTCAAAAGGTGTTTAATTCCCAGAGACTGATAATCCTAAAACTGTCTATTTTGTTCTGAGACCTGCAGGAAATGCCTTCTTGACAGATCAAGTCAATTAACCTTTCCTTTCCAGAAACCTCTTGTACATTGAAATAAATGTCACAAGAGAAAATGTCAGAGATGTGAAAACACTAAGCCTGTTTCTGCTGAACATTGCTGACAGTAATACAAACTCAGCTTTCGAGTTTATAAAGGAGTATCTATGTCAATAACATTGACAAATAAAGTAATTGCCTAACAAATTATTTATATTTATTATCTTCAGGTAAACAGAACATGTACACAAACCCTCTCTAAAGGATACTGGCCCTAATCATAGACATTTATTTAAAATCAAAATCATATACAACATAAAACAGGTATCTCACAGAATGTTTTTGAGTTTATTTCACAAGAATAAAGAATGTCATTCTAATAATGTTTCCTTTTGCAGGCAGACATAAGAAAAAACATCAATTTAACTGTAGGTCAGTTTATTAATGATAACAACCCATACATTCCTTATAGTTTACAGTTTCTTAAATATTAGAAGCAGATAAACCACAGCTGTAGCCAATCCTTTGCAGCTTTTGACATTACTTAGTAAGACTACATAAAAAAGGCATTCTCCTTTAGATTACACACAGTAGTGAAACCTGTATACTTACTTGAAAAAACAGTATCGCTGTCATAATGAGATTTGGTTTACTGAACAGAGAAAATAAATGGAATAAAAGAAGTTCAATCAAAGCTACTATTCAGTGCAAGGATTAAAAATAAAGGAAAAGAATACACTGGTTATTGCTTTGCCTCCACCAGCCTACTGTGAAATTTTCATATCCTTTTAAAGAGGTATCCGGAACTCTGTAAAAGAAATATACACAAATACACACAAGAAAAAAGTACTCACACTGTTTGGATGTTGAATGGCAGCTTCGTGCTGCAGTCTAACACGCTGTGGCATCATCACATCATCCTGGAATAAATAGCACACTGTTACTGAACATAAAAAGGGTCACAGTACAGTACTCAGACACACATTAGAACATGCTGCTAAATTAACATCATTTTACTGGCTTGCAGTCAGAAATACAAATGGAACAAATATTAAGAGACTTTACACTTTTAGTAGATTAAACTCAACCCTGTTCAAATTGGAAGTGATCAAAAGTACTATGGAACAACTGTATTGTGATCTCAACATGTATCTTATGGGCACTCACACATTTTACATTTCTAAAGAAATTCACCAACTGTTTAACAACACTAACAGCAGTACTGGCAGTATGTGTGGACAAGGAACTAAGCTTGATTAAAAACATGAGATTTGAGACAGTCTAGCAATATCAGGAAATGTTCTTTGTAGTCTGGCTGTACCTTGTTTCATTGATAAGGAAAAGCCTTCCGTCTCCAGGTCTACCAATATGTCGTATGTCATGAGCACAAAACCTACTATTTGTGAAATGATAAAGTTCTAAGGAAAAAAGGAGAAAAAGGAAAAACCTGCACTCATAAAATGCATCAGCATCGACACTGGCTTTAAGACACACTACCTAGATTCAAATTTGATGTTAATACTTCTTTCACCTGTAGCATAAATGTCTGTTTTGTTTACATACAAAAAGACATGTTGCCTTGTAAAGTTAGCAACGTTGCTATCCTTCCTTGAACAGATAGGAGATACTCCTTTCAAAAGTATGTTATTTCCTGTTCAAAATTTTATGCTTTCTAGACTACAGTTTTACAGTTTATAAAATGCCCAACTGTAGCACAAATTTTCCTCCCTAAATTTCTGGGGAAAAGGAACCCTGAGATTTCTACCTATATTCTTTTCCATTTGGTGCCCTATTTCTTCCCTTTTAAGGGATCAGTTCAGTCTTTCTTAGATGCTGGTTAAAGCTAACACAGCTAGTTCTCAGAGTATTTCCAAATGACCCTACCTTATCAGGCAAACATAACACAAAGGAGCCCTGAATTCCAGTTCTACATCCATTCTTTTAATAGTTCCTCACATTAAAATAATTCTAAGGAGATTCCTACTAAAGCCAAGAACCAAAATATTGAATTACCAACAACTTTCACATTAAAACTTTCAGTCAAATCAATAGCAACAAAAAACATATTAGTGCTTAAATATCTAGGGCTTAGAGGGTTGTATGACCCTGAAATAAAGGTGACACTAAGTTTTATCAAAAACAATGCAAGGATGAAAAAAGTTTTGGAAGTAGATCCAACTATTTAATACAATTCAAGGTTAAAGATAAAACAAATTAATAATAAAATTGATCCTTATCACATGCAAGTTTACAAAAGATGGAAGGAATACATTGTCAAAAGCATTTTTCTGTATTTTGTATTTAGGATATATTTAGTAATAAGCATAAGAGATGTTACTGATTTTCAAAGGCAATAGAGTGAAAAAAACCTTCTGATTTCTCAATGTCTGCACATCAATTACTTCAAAACTACAATGTTATTATGTATGATCTGATCCACTTTACCAATAAGGCACCAGAATTCAGGTACTGTATCAAGCAAATGTTCCAATAAAACATTTATCCTATTTCCAATAAGAACCACCATAATCCTATTTCTTTATGTCAAATACAGAGCTGATTTTTGTAAATTAAAACCTGGTTTTCATATAAGCAATAAAAGATACATTTTAACTGAGTTTCGTTCACTCCTTTATGAATTACTTGGGATTCTTGTTAAATCCCCCCCAAAATGAGAATGGAAAAGAAATCCATCAAAAAGCATGGAATTTCAATGCTTAGAACAATGTTACTATTATCTCTTACAATATACAACATATGCTCTTGTGCTGAAAGATTCCACTGTTTATGATCCCGTAAAACAGTGATAAGTTTAACAGAACACATACATTCACAAAGATGAAAAATAATCTACTTGATTTTAAAAGGTTAAATCAGCATGGAAAGTATTCAAGCCAAATTCAAATATCCTATTCACCGAGCAGGTCAATGTTATGTTTTGATAAGCAGACAACTTGACAGGAAAGGTCTAGTTCCCCGTAACAAAACAGTATGTCATTTTGATGCTGTTGGCGAAACTAACAAGTCTACAGATTTGGGTCTTAGGCTATCATCAAGACCATCAGTATTCTGTAAAATTCAGCTAAAGAGGGAGCCCTATAACCTCAAAAACTTCAAAATGTCTTTTTTTTTTTTATTAATACATCTTTGTTCTCTAATGCTGGAAAACTCTCTGAACTCTTATCCTGAATGACCTTTAAAAATTTTTTTAAAGAATAATTATGTCTTTTTTTGTTGTTGTTGTTTTCGGGGGTTTTTTTGTTTGTTTTGAGTTTGTTTTTTTTTTTAAATTAACATTTTTACACATACAATGCACTGCTGTGGAGTTCTGTGATACTTTCCAGGTTCATGGAAGGAGAAAGAAAGGAGAAAGAAAGAAAAAAAAGAGCATAGTAGTTTAAGACACAATCCTAAATAAAATAATAAAGAAATTAGGTGATGAGGAAGAACAGTACAAAATACAAATCATGTCCCAGACAAAACTGAGTCACATCAGTTATTTAGCTTTTTAGACTTGGGTTGGGCAGCTGTGAAAGCAAGCTAACTGCAAAATCCAACTTCAACGCTTTATAGATTCTTTACTATTGATGACTGGGCAGGTAACCATAAAGGGGAAAACAGAATATATTTATACAGAAGTAATCTTAAGTAATGTGGTTGTATTCTAGACCAGTGTTTAAAAACAAATTAAATTCTAGTGAGTAAAACCAAAAAGATTGTACTACAAAATCAGGGCACTTTAAAAGTTTTTCAGCTTCATAGGCATTGATGGGAGTAAGATGCCCAACCATGCACTGTACTCATAAGAGTTTATGGAGTTTAAACAACTATAGCATTACAACTAAGATGTTAAAATATTTTATCCAGCTATACATTATGTAATCACAAATTTTCTATCAAAACTGCTGTATTTATGATATTGAATTCAGCAACGATGTTGTCAGACTTTGATTTCTACAGTCAACAGAGTTTTAAATCAAAAAAGATGACCAAACTGAGAACAAAATCTCAGTAATTAGACAAAACACTTTCCAAATTATTTTTCAGTCATGTCAGACAAAAAAAAAAAGTACATATCTGAACGTAGTTGCTGTATCAAAAAGAGAAGTATATTTAGTTTGTTTCTGTCTCCTAGGTGCCAGCAGGGAAGATAACAAGGCCAGCAGCGAATCACAATGAATATATCATTTAAAAAAAAAAAAAAAAAAAGAAATTTAACAAAAGTTTCCACTGAAATTCAATTTTCCCTGTTAACATGGAAGTCTCTAATGCTTGTCTCCTAGCACATACAAGGCATACAGGATGAAAAGAGATTTCCCCCACTGACAGAACAGACTAAAGAACAGATTTAAAATAAATGCTAGATAAACACATGCCTTCACTAAGCATATACTTGCAATAGAACAGCTCCATAAAAAAGAATCTGTAAGTAAATCTATTTTCATGTGACCCCACTCACCAAACTTAGTAGAAAAATTAAGAAAAATCTCAGGTAATAGCTGGGTTTACTGTCACCTAAATACATACATACATACAATGCAAACAAGGCCAAACAAACCAGTCAATGGCAAGAAATAAAACAACATAAATAGAAACCTACATTAGGCATTCAAAATAACCCAGAATTTATAGGAATTTTGTTGACTACAAACATGCTTCCTGTTCTCCAGTGTCCATTCTGAGTAAGAAAACAATTTGCTGAAAGATGGGAGAAAGAAAAGGACTTTATTTCACATGAAAAGCCAGCAGGGATTTCTAAACAAGCCCAGATGTGTTTCTGCTGGTGGGGGGCCGTGATCTCCATCACCTTTCAGTGCGACAGGCATTCTGCCTGCTTGCGTTCCTATCAAATATACTCCTTCTGCAGAAAGCTGGCTTGCTCCTGTCAAGTTCCACACCACTTACAGATGCTGCCAAATCAGGAAAGCTCGTTATACAACTATTAGCCGGGTTGTTTTCCTTCCAACCAGAGGCACTATTCTTTATAAAAACACACACAATTTATACTGAGCTAATTGTTTTGTTTTACTTTACTCATATGTTTAGTTGAAGAAAAGGAAAACTAAATCAATAGACTGAGATTAAGAATATTACTCAAAGCTGTTGTTGTTTCAGTATGTATTTCTTAAATCAATTTGGGTAAATTCAAATGACAAGCATTCACTGGGCTCTTCAACCAGGCCGTCTGGACCAGAGTGAACTTCACAGTGATAACTTCATTATTTTCCCTTAAAAGTGTGGGGGTTTGCACTTCAGAAAGTAAAACAAAACATACAACTCAATGTACAATACACGTCTACTTTTTAAAAACAAGGACCAGTTCACATAAAACAAGACACTAATTATAGCTCAGTATTGAAGTGCTTTCTTAAGCTCACATTACAGACTCAGCATCACATGCTTTTCCAAATTCCTTTGTATTTGGCTGCTCAAAAAAAAAGAAAAAAAAAAAAAAAGAGCTGACACACTCCATCCTCACAATAATAGCACCTTCTTTCCATTGCAGCTATTGCACATAAAATACAACCTGTAGCAACACCAGGAAGAATGTTTGACTCACTGAGAAACAATATGGCATCTCCAAAGTCTTTCAATCCATCAAATGGTCATTCATTTATCCTGCACCTGCTCAGACTACCGTGAAAATCTTTCTTTGCTATTGTTCAGTTCAACTCCTTGAACCAGGGAACTAAAAGGCCTGGGACCTCCAAAAACCAGCCTGTCAACAGCACTACCAAAGCAAATACACTGATCCTAGGCAATTTTCCAGAAGGCAGGCTTTTAAAGAAGCCCCACACTACCAAACACATTAGAATCATGGACTCTAATGGCCACGCACAAGTCACCCAAGCAGAATGTGCCATAACGATCTGTCAGTACTTGCAAGACCATAGGCAAAGATACTACTTTTCTGTTTCTA